TGCAAGTACAGATGCCGGAGCCACGAACAAAAAAAGCCAAACTTTGTTGGCTTGACGAGGTCCGGGCCCCGAGAGCTTGGCAGATGGTGACAGAGATGCAGAAAAAATAATCAGGGTAATAAATAAATATGCACAACAACACGTTAACTAAAAGGTTAACATAACCCAATACATTTTATACAAAAAGTAGGTACATTGATTTGCGATTTAAACTATAAATGTCAAGATGATCTAAAGAATATTTATTGAGTAATGTGGGTAGGTTATAGTGAAGGGACTGCAAGCCATAATTTGTACGATAACGGGACACCCTCCATTCCTCTGAGCAACGGGTGCGGATGGTGGTTATATTTCTGGTTAAATTTGATGTATGTCTCAAAAAACCAATCACTTCTGGTGATGAAAAACAAAATGACCTAGTCAGAAGGTATTCATATAATCGATATATATTGATAATTTTGTATTTTTTAAATAATGATTCGGTATGGAATGAATAATTAACGTTTGCAATAAAGCGTAACACTCTCTTTTGAAGCAATAGTATTTTGTTTAGATTTGATTTTGTTGTCGTACCCCAAATGAGATGACAATACGTTATTTGTGATTTAAATAACGCATGATATATTTGTAATTTTATATTTTCAGGGAGAATGAAATGACATCGAGCAATAATACCGACGATTTTGCATAATTTACTGGTAATATGATTTATATGTTCATCCCAAGACAAGTTTTCTGAAAATATAACACCCAATGTTTTATGATTTTTCACTAGTTCAACTGGCTTAGAATTAAACTGGAGAGTTTTGTTTAGAGTTACATGTGTATTGATTGATCTAAATAATATTGCTTTAGTTTTGGTTTCATTAATATTAAGCCCATTTGAATTTGACCACATCGCAAATTTGGAGAGCATGACATTTCCTTTGATTATTAAATTATCCGCATCCACGTCAGAGAGGAACAGACTGGTGTCGTCCGCATACATTATGAAATGAGTGTCTTCATCAGTATTCATAATATCATTTATATAAATATTAAACAGTAAGGGCCCCAATATGCTACCCTGTGGGACACCATACCTGATCGGCATAAAAGATGATAAATGTCCATCAATGCACACACACTGCATACGATCTTCTAGATATGAACACAAAAGTGAAAGTGAGGGACCACGAATGCCGTACTGGTATAACTTGTCAACAAATATCTTGTGATTAATACAATCGAAGGCTTTGCTAAAATCTATAAATATGCCTAACAATGACTTCATTAAGCTCAGTCTACTGCTGTGCGCCGCCATTCTCTGCCTAAAACCTGCACCATCAAGTAGTCCGCGCTTCAAAGAATGTCGCGACCCGTAGAAAGGTTGAATCGTGGCTGTTGCTGTGCCTTGCAAAACACACTGTGCTGTATCGAGTATAGCCGCTGCTGGCGGCTTGTGTTGACCTAGTGGATAACCACTAAGTGTGGGCTGGGTAGTTCCAGTGCTGCACTCTTTTGTTTAATTTTATTTATTATACCCTTAAAAGCCCCATTCAGGGGCATTGGAGTGTGGGGCATATTTCAAGACGATGCCTTCAAAGTTTCGACAATTCGGAATCAAGGAATGTTTTTCCGCCTGCAAACACGTCACCTCAGCTGTTCAAGCGTACATCTTGACCACAATCTTGTCGAGGAATCTTGCTAGCGCATATGGAATGACAAGAGGCTTGTCATCGATAGTGTTTTCCGGATATAAATAAAATTCACTTTCGCAATCGGAGACATCTGGCACCACTGAAGTGGCGTTATGTTCCGATGCGTTCCACATTTGTCGGGTGCAGGCGCTACATAGGTATGCGGTGGGAACTGATGAAAGATCACATTTTATTCTTCGAGGCCCACATTTATGCAGCCATCGTGAAACTTCCGTCTGCATCAGCCACAAGAAGCTATGAATTGCGGCTTCCACACTATAATGGCGGAGTACGTTCCGAGCAAAAGCTCCTCAGCACCAGACTTGTACGTAATCCGTTACAAGTAACGAAATTACTTGTAATCCCTTACATTTATCAGTAATTTAGTAACGGATTAATTACATATTTTCTAGAGTAATTTTAATGTAATTCCGTTACATTTTTTACGTAACGGATTCCTTGTAATCCGTTACATTTTTTTGTCAGAACCACCCCCCCCCCCCCCCCCGATTCTAAATAAAGTTCTTTTTTTTTTCCATTTTTGTAAAGTCGAGCGCAGTGACACTGTCACGCAAATCGACCAGCGCAAGGAGAGGCTTGGCACTCCAGTTCCGCAAACCTTTTTTTTGCAACACCAAGCCCCTGAATCTATCCTTTTTTTTAGGCCCTAACATCAAAGTAAAAAAATCCAAATGAACAATTCTACAAAAAAAAAAAAAACTAAAAAATAAAGGGGGGGGGGGGGGTGGGGCAAGTCATTTCCGCTTTTTTTTAGTTCCTTTTTTTTTCTTTGCGATCAAAGTCGGGGAGAGGAGGACACCAAGTGATTGTGCGCCTCTTCGAGAAGCTCGAGGCGGTAAGTGCACTGAAAAGAATTAACAATGACTAGGACCATTTTCATAATGTCACAACACCAGACTACGCTCCGTCTACCCTACCCTTTTTGTGAGTCAGCTTTTTGCGAGCACTTATAAAATGGCAATAGTCTTCCTTTTTACTCCTTCCTGTTTTGCCCCACCAGGACGCATCTTATCTCAAGCAGATATTTTTACAAATAAAACATAATGGTGGCTGACGTAGACTTGATATTCTGGGCTTGAGGAGAGAGTGAAATTCGTGAGTGGGGCCATGGCGCGGCTTACTTAGTACTCTGCCCTTTGCTGCCCGTGGCATCAGCGGACGTCTATCTGGAGAACACCGGAGTAAACTGCAGTTGGTCCGTGCTCCGTGCGTTTTTGAACGGCACCAAGAAAAGTACACACGGCAAACGTGCATTTACATTTCCTTGTTTTAACCGACGCTCTAATTAATTGTTGTTATGAGTGTCCTTCTTTTTCTTTTATTACTTATATTTATATACTGGAAACTTTTTTTTATTCACCAACGTCTCAAGTGAGGCTCGAACTGTTCAGAACCAAAGGAAGAAGAATATCGAGCCAAACCTTATTTATTATTTATTTATCCCCTTACTGTTACAACTATGTTTTGCTGTTGATGACTTCTACAGCTTCGCGATTTAGACAATGGAGAATTTTATTAGATCGGTCCGATGACTCCGGTAATGATATCCAATACTTCGCCGCCGTCTTTGCGTATGCATCATATCGTTATCGGGTACCGTTATCGCGGGTATCGGAGATATCGGAAGAATCTACTAAATCTCTCGAATAGCATGGCAACGGCTGCAACGACGAAGCTTTGCTCTACATTCGGGGTAAATAGTACTTCCCTTGCTTCGCTGAAAAAGCTCAATGCAGAGCATAAAGCATTCGTGAGGAACAATATGGCACTCCCATCCAGTGCCTCAGCTCAAATGGTGTTCAGCGTAGCAGTCGACATATTGAGTAAAATAACGCAAAATGTCTGACGAGACTTTCGAGAGCCAGCTGTTGCTCAAAATACTCAAGGTCATTAAATGGAACAGGTGCCAAGAATAAGAACTTGAATAACTCTCTTCCCTCTGTTTCTTACTTGAGGACAATAATCTAAAAAGTAACGCCACGAAAGTAACGGATTACTTTCTCGGGTAACGGTCAGTTACTTTCATGGGAGGGTAATTGTAATTGTAATAAATTACATTTTAGCCTCGAGTAATTGTAAATGTAATTCGTTACTATTTTTCAGTAACGTGTACAAGTCTGCTCAGCACCATCTTGTCAAAGATGTTGCCAAATTCATTTTTGTTTCAAGTCATATCAGATCAATCTTATTTACCGCAAAGATGACACATGACAGCAGGAGATGAGGACTAAAATTTTCATAATAGCAAAGTTACGAAAGTCCCACGCCTGCGTAGTTCATAACACCGCTTAGACTAATACAAAGAGAAGGAAAAAACGCAACACAGCCTTCAAAACCTACGTTTATAAATTGCGAAGCCAACAAGGTGGCAAAACAAGAAAAAAACCGGCCGTGACGCAACAGTGGCTGAGGGACTCGGAAGCGATTATCAGACCATTTTCTAATTTCTGCTCAATCTCCGTGATTTGTGCAGAATCTGGCTATACAAGAGTTTTATGCGACTTTTTATTACGTTTGGAGGGATAAGATGTGTAAAAATTCCAAAAGCCCGGAGCTCGCTCTTGTAGCTTTCGCTACGCCCGCACTTCAGCTGATATGCAGTATTCGTGACTCCAGCGACACGGGCGGCACCTAGCGGTAAAATACCAAACTGGAAAAACAGGTCGTCTCGCGAGTTCTGCTCGTCTTTTGGGACTTCCGCGGTTGCATCTCCACGGCAGTTGGCACGATGGCTAGGGAAGTTAAGGAAGAAAGGACTCAGTGCTTTTTTTGTCTACTGGAACGAAAACGGCTGAAACGACAGGGCTGCAGTGAAAACCGTGGCTGACATGAGCCTCTTGGAAGCGCCTTGCGTTGTCTTTTATCTTGTGCATGATGAGGTGTTGTCCTGGTGACTTGATCGTTACTGCTGTATGAATGTGTTGACCTAAGTTTCTGTTAACTCAAACTACCAAATCGCTTGAACCAGACATTGTGCTATTATGGACGTCCATTGGCGCGGTACAAGAGCAGTAGGCTTATTTGCTTCTAGGAAGAAGGCTAAGCCTCTTGAAGCTCGGTTACGCCACCACAACTCTGGAGATTTTGAACGTAGTGAGTAAAAATAGGGGAAAATCATTTTGGCGCCAATGCTTTCCTGCTTGAACACGAACACTGTGCGTTGAACTGGCACATGGCACGGCACGATATGTTTTTTGCAGCCATATTTGTCGAGAGTGGCAAACCCTATAGGTCACTAGAGTTGCCAATAGCATTCGCCTTTATGAAAAAAAGCTTCGAAAGGTTAAATGTTATACTCACATCAATGATGTTCGTCCAGCGTTCCATCTTTGACATTTCCACCCAGACGTTGTAGAGCACGAACTGTGCGCAGAAGACGAGCAGGCACTCCCCATCATCTTTCAGCAGCGTACTGATGTTCCTAAACGCAGCCTTTTGGTCTCTGATCCAGTTCAGGCAATAGAACGAGTAAATCCGATCAAATTTACCGTATTTGTGTAGAAACGCAGACACGTCTGAAGAACCCGCATCAAGGATGTCGTAGCAGATATCTGGATGTCCGTAGTTTCTTTTCGCGTAGTTCAACATGGTTGGGGATATGTCAATGCCTACAATCTTACGGCATGGATAAATCCATTTAAGCAGCATGTCTCTCGTAAAGTCTCCGATGCCGCATCCGATGTCGAGGATCTGATCGCATAAACTAGAATGACTTCTGAACTTCGTTCTTTTCAAAGCTTCGACATTGTTGAGCCTCACAGAGGCGCTAATACGCCCGTAATGTTCTGGGTCGAATCCCGCTTTCATTTTTAGTTTCAACTTATAACTGCAGAGCAGAATGTCGCGCTTTGTTGAGCACTCTTGCTACTACCTATGGTCTTTTTGTCGGTTTTATCAGCTCCAAGCGAAAGGTCCAAGGGTCGACCCGCCCCCCCCCCCCCTTCCCCCCATACCTCTCGCCCTCGCACGAAGATCGCTATCTCAAGGTAAGCTCCCCCCCGCTTCTCTCGTCCTCGCACAAATATCGCTATCTCAAGGTAAGGACTCCGTATGTTGAGTGGGCGATTGACCATCATTCCTTCTTGAAGATAAACACAGTAGATTCCATCAAAATATCCGGAATGTACCGGTCAACGTCTTTTAAAACAAAAATTGGCAAGTCTACAAAATCCTAAAAACAATTATTACCTGACTCAAGGCATGTTAGCTCAACGTGGATCCAGTGCTTGCCAGAACACTAATTCGGGGCTAATTTATCACAGACTTTAACGCGTCCTAGAACATGTCAAGATTAATATCTTAGCAATAAGAAATTAAAAAAGCAGGCGAGGGGCTCTTTTACGATTTTCAGGTATGTGATTGAGCTATAGTGGTGATTGTTCCACGGCGATTTATTTTTGTTAATATGGGTTTAGTATAACGTGCAGAAAAGGTGAAAACTTTAGGTTTGAATTCCGCCCCTCCTATAATTGGCAAAAAGTATGATGGACTTTTTAGGTATGCAGGCGTTTCTTCCTAAGTGTTACCAACACGCCCTGTACAGCCGTTTTTGACAAATGTTAGCCGTATAAAGCAGCTGGGTTACCCAAATCGCCTTTCTCTTGAAGTAGTGGTTATTGCTGTGCCTAATCGACACCTTTCCAAAAACAGCGCTCGGTTGGCGGCTGTGGAATCCCTCTACAATGGCGGACTAAAACCGCAACGTCACGGCATACTTTCTGTGTTTGGTTGGATGAGAAGGCATAAGCACACCACAAATGAAATGGATGAGCACAGTGACGTTGCATTTTCGGTGAGATTTGATTGGCTCGTCGGCTCCTAGCGTTGACCGCGCTCGAACTTTGGCTCTCTTATGAAGGACTTGCACGTTCCACGGCGTCAGTTGCTCCTCCATTTCGCAGTGGTTCCGACCGACCAATAATCGGCACGTGATAAGCTAAAGGGTTCTATAAATATACCGAAAAGGGTAATCCTTGATCGCACTACTTATATTCGTAGCTTTATCTTTCAAATCAGGAATTCGAATTCTTGTGCCTGCGCGTTGAATAGGCATATACCAATTTTCAGCTGACCTTTTCCACATACCGACGGCACCAGGCGGTGGCTGCACGAACTAAAAATCGAGGAAGTGACCTACCTGCGCCACCAAAGCGGTAATGGGAGCCACGCTACCAGTTTCTTCGCTCTCTGAGCAGCGGCGCCTGCCCAACGCGACTTCAAAGAGGTGCATCCGTGGCGTCCACCCAAACGGCGTGTTTTTCTTTCCGTCCACGTTCTTTTTTGTGTAAGACAATTATATAGATGCTGCAATTACGTGTTCTACTCGCTGATCCACAGCCTCCATCCAAATTTCCTCGATTTTTTCTGCCGACTCCCGCCGCTTGGCATCGGGTGCTCGCGCGTGCGCAGAGCTCTCCTCGGAAAAGGTCCAATGCAATGATATTTCAGAAGTGCGTAGTATTTTATGGAGACAACTCTTTTAGCGCTTTTTGTTTCTAAAAGTTTAGTTGTTTGACGCGCCCTCTTATACTAATGATCCCGGTAAAATATAAAAAAACGCAATTGCAAAAAAACGAAGAAAAAAAACGGAGCAAAAAAAAAAAAAAAACACCGTAGAAGCACAGCGCCGCCCAAAACCGGATTTTTATTGTTCTCAGAATCGTTACGGATAAAGGCGACGAGACGATAAATGATGAAGTGAAGAAATAAGGGTTTATTCGGCGCACATGTGCCAGAAAGAAACAAAAAAAAGTGGAAGCCGTTTACAAATCCCTGTGACGCCGAATTGGAGCGCAGCTCTTGAGGAGGAGGAGTGAAGGGTACTGAGGGGAGGGTAGACCCCTCCCCCTTCTCCTCCTCCTCCCCTCATTCTTTAATATGCTCCGGGGGGGGGTGTCACGTGACTTCGGGGAGGGGGTCACGTGACCTCGGGGAGGCGTGACCTGGGGGTGACCTCAAGGCCACGTGACCCCAAAGGTGACCCCCACGTGACCTTGGGGGTCACGTGACCTGGAGGGGTCACGTGACCTCGGGGGTCACGTGACCTCAGAGGGGTCACGTGACCTCAGAGGGGTCACGTGACCTGGGGGTCACGTGGGGTCACGTGACCTTGAGATGACCTTGGAAGGGGTCACGTGACCTTGGGGGTCACGTGACCTCGGGGGTCACGTGACCTTGAGGCGACCACGTGACCTCGGGGGTCACGTGACCTCAGAGGGGTCACGTGACTTGGGGGTCACGTGACCTTCAAAGGGTCACGTGGGGCCATGTTGGGGTCACGTGACCTTGAGATGACCTTGGAAGGGGTCACGTGACCTCGAGGGGTCACGTGACCTTCAGGGGGTCACGTGGGGTCACGTGACCTTGAGATGACCTTGGGAGGGGTCACGTGACCTTGGGGGGTCACGTGACCTTGGGATGACCTTGGTTACGCCGACGGCGACGGCGACGGCGACGGCGACGGCGACGGCGACGCCGACGCCGACGGCGACGCCGCTCAAGCCGGGAACGGGCCCCTAAGAGCTGCGCTCTAAAAAAAGAACGCCAAGAAAGCATCAGCGAGCGTCGACGGTGGCAGCAGCAAGCGACGGTGCGTTGTCGTGACAACTGGCTATCTGGAGAGTAGATGAGTGGAAATACCGCGCTCGGCCCGGTACCTACTAAAATCGGCTTCTCAAAGATTAAGCATGGAATGTTCGGGAAGGAGCAACGGCGACACTGACTCGGCAAGGTCATTCCGGCCTGGTTATCTCTTATGATCCGTGTTAGAGCAAACATAAACCATCACATGAAGGGAAAAGCGTTCCTTCTCGGTCATGCACGCGGCAAAACTTCCCCTATAGAAGTGCATTGCCCCGATGAAACCTTCAAAAATAGACAACGAATAGCGGCAAGCTATAAACCTCGCGGGCACCTTAACCATAAGTTGTTATCAGTCCTATCTAGTATAAAACGGCCTGAGACGCACGACGTGCACCACCTCGGCCCGCCGTGTTCCGCCTGGAAGCATCTCGTGGATCGGGTCTTCGAGGCGACGGAGCACCTTATACGGACCAAAGTAGCGCTTCAAGACGTTCTCGCTAAGGCCGCGGCGTCGTATCAGGGCCCAGACCCACACCCTGTCTCCCAATTTAAAATGAACGTCCCGTCGGCGAAGGTTGTACCGGCTAGCGTCGAGACATTGTGGGCTTTGAATCCGCTGGTGGCTAGCTGCCGCGTCTCTTGTGCTCGCTGACTGGTCACTTGGGTGTCTACGGTCCAGTCGTCAACTGGCCCATGGGGCGGCATCGAGTCGAGCATCGTCGTCACTTTCCTGCTATGCACCGGCCGAAATGGTTTCACTCTAGGGGTTTCTTGAACTGCCGTGTGATACGCAAAACGTGACGTACGGCAAGACATCGTCCCAAGTCTTGTGCTCCCTGTCGACGTACAGAAGCCCACAAACGTTTAGGGATCACGCGAACCGTGGCCGAGCCGCATCACTACGCTCCCTTGTGTCTAGGCGCCTATTGTCAAGAACCGTAATGTGCGCATGCGCGTCCTTCGGTGGCTGCAGGCATTTTAACCCTCCCGCTTCCAACCGACACCTTCTTATTCTTATGAATACGGCGCCGGGCACCGCTCGGGTAGCTGCTGTTGACTGCCTTGCCGCAGCTGTATCTGGGTGGCGCAATGACCGGCAGAAGCTGCGATATCAACTCTTCCGGCTGGAATATTTTTTTGCCAGCTCAGCGGCCAGTACAAAAAAACAGCCATTTTGTCTTTTAGAGCGCAGCTCTTTTTCGCCCGTTTCCGGCTTCAGTGGCGCCGCCGTTGGTGTAACAGCGCGTTGCATTATGGGACGTTTCCTATATTGTAGTCACAAGTGACGTCACGTGTGACGTCACGAGGATTGCGAGGGTTACCCTCACAAGGGTCACAAAGGTTACCCTCAAGAGGGTCACGAGGGTTACCTTCACTAGGGTCACGAGGATTACCCTCACGAGGATTACCCTCACGAGGATTACCCTCACGAGGATTACACTCGCGAGGGTTACGAGGGTTACCCTCATGAGGGTCACGGGGGTTATCCTCACGAGGATTGCTCTCACGAGGGTCACGACGGTTACTCTCACGAGGGTTACGAGGGTTACCCTCATGAGGGTCACGACCCCTATAAAAAGGCTTCCGCCATTCAATATACATCTGACTGATATTCTATTGCCCCTGTCACCATTCGATTGTTCTCGCTTGAAATTCATGGACACGGTATCACGGTAGTTTGGCACTGACGTGGTAGACGCTAAAATGGCAATCAAATGGCGAAAGAACTCTTTAGCGTCTTTTTATTGGCAGGTGTCCATACAGAATTCGGGTATCGTCTTTTTATACTCATCCTATTGTCAATCTAGCGCCCCCGGTGGCAGCGCAATAGCGGCCAATGTCTGCTGCAAGTAAAGCAAACTTTAAGTACAAACCATAGTTATCATGTACGATAGAGGTTCAACTGGCTCTTGTGTTCCGCGGCAAATTCAAGACGACCATACATGGTAAATTTCTTCCAAAATGTAATTTAATTACAATTACAATTATTTTGCTCCAAAACTAGTTTAACCTTAATTGCAACTACTACTATATGAAAAATAATTCATTATAAGTACAAACTACATCAAAAAGTAATGCAATTACTTTACAATTACTTATTTCAAGGAGCGACCGTTTTCGTCTATATAACTTCAAACAACATGTTAAGAATGCAACGCATTTCTTCATTCCTTGCCCAAATGTTTAAAGGAGCTGTGCAACGATATTCATTTGGAATGTTTTTCTCTGTACACGAGCTTACTGGCACACCAGGGACTCAAGGATACTCACACGCAACGCCATTGGCCAAG